TTCCTCATCTTTTTCGATTTCTTTGTCGATTTCGTTTTTTCCGCATTAGTTAGCAGCTTTAGGTTTATTTTATGCATCATCGGAGGATAGTTCGCTTTAATTGGAATCAACCTTGTAGAGGTCGTGTGAACTAACTTGGTTCCTTTTGCACTAATAATGTTGCCATCCTGAAAAAAAAAAAAAAAACGAGTCCAAAGGTGTTGTCTTGCTAGCTTAGTAGTGGCAACTGATTCTTATGCCATATGTTCTTTTCCACCAACTAAGCACTGTTTGTGCTTCTCAGAATATTCGGTCATAGTATTGTAGGAGCGCAGCTCCCTTTTAAGGGCTTTTGATGCCTAAAAATAAAAAATGATAATAAGATTTCAAATTTACAAGTATTTTATACACAATCCAAATTAAAATTTCTTCATCATCGACTATAATTTTTTGGAAAATTATTAGGTACCTGACGTTCGTCCTAACTGAGGGTCCTCTTTGCCAGCGGATGACCCTGCAGAACTTTAAGAAAGTAGAATGTTTTTTAATATATTTTTTGAAAAAGTTTAAAAAATGTATTAAAAAAAGCCGTTTTAAAATACAATTCAGAACTATTCAAAAAAAAAATCTAATTTGCTCTTAATAGAAAAGGTATTTCGAATTTAAATACTTTTTTCAAAATGTGCAGTTAATAAACGAGTCATCACTATCAAGTTAATAAACGAGTCATCACTATCAAGTTAATAAACGAGTCATCACTATCAAGTTATTAAACGAGTCATCACTATCAAGTTAATAAACGAGTCATCACTATCAAGTTAATAAACGAGTCATCACTATCAAGTTAATAAACGAGTCATCACTATCAAGTTAATAAACGAGTCATCACTATCAAGTTAATAAACGAGTCATCACTATCAAGTTAATAAACGAGTCATCACTATCAAGTTAATAAACGAGTCATCACTATCAAGTTAATAAACGAGTCATCACTATCAAGTTAATAAACGAGTCATCACTATCAAGTTAATAAACGAGTCATCACTATCAAGTTAATAAACGAGTCATCACTATCAAGTTAATAAACGAGTCATCACTATCAAGTTAATAAACGAGTCATCACTATCAAGTTAATAAACGAGTCATCACTATCAAGTTAATAAACGAGTCATCACTATCAAGTTAATAAACGAGTCATCACTATCAAGTTAATAAACGAATCATCACTATCAAGTTAATAAACGAGTCATCACTATCAAGTTAATAAACGAGTCATCACTATCAAGTTAATAAACGAGTCATCACTATCAAGTTAATAAACGAGTCATCACTATCAAGTTAATAAACGAGTCATCACTATCAAGTTAATGAACGAGTCATCACTATCAAGTTAATAAACGAGTCATCACTATCAAGTTAATAAACGAGTCATCACTATCAAGTTAATAAACGAGTCATCACTATCAAGTTAATAAACGAGTCATCACTATCAAGTTAATAAACGAGTCATCACTATCTACTTATTTTTGTTATGATTTTATTCAATTTATTTTATGATAGAATAAAAAACTTATAATATTGTTTTTTTTATACCTTATCATAGTTAAAATTTAAAATACCTGTATTTAACAATGTTGTGTTTTATAAACATAAGATATGTGAAAATAAAAAAACTATAACTATATAATTTTAAATGTAAGGTTTACTGTTACTTTAACCTTATTGTTAATTTAACCTTTTTTTTAATCGATTTTTAAATCTCTAATGTTGATTATGTTTAACTAATTTGGCCTAGTAAATAAAATAAAAAAAATGGTTTTAATCTTTTATTTCAATAACAATTTCTTTTTATGATTTAAAGTTAAAATATGTAATTTTATATGCACAATTATGAACATATGATCTAGCCAATTAAAAGTTTCACGCTGTTCCCCGTTCAATTTTGGTTCGAACTAACTATTACCTTTAAATGACCAAACGATGATTTGCTGCACTCTCCTTAAATAGATCTTTTAAATTGAGTAATGCATAGTTTTTTTAAATACAATTTCTATACTCTTTTTTTTTTTAATTAGTAGTTTTCGGACGTGAATCAAATATTTACATTGCGTTTTCTTTTGAAGTCGCTTTAAGGAAGTTCTGGAAAGCCTCAAAACTCTTTTCTGAAATACAATATTTGCACCACACAGCATAAATAACACAACAATCACTATCACAAATATTACTACGAGAGATCAGTTCAAATTGATCTCTCATAGTGATATTTTTAATTGTGATAGTCGTGAAATAGTTGCTACAGTTGTTTAAGTTCTCTTAAACACGTTTAAACGCGTATACGCGTTGTATGGGTGCTTATTGCGTACAAAAGTAAACTTCAGTTCCATATTTGCATTTCTTGTTCCTAAACCCCCCTTTTTTGTTTCTTTATTATTATTATTTAAATTAGGTGCCCCAAGAAGTCCCTACGGTCTTATCACAAAGCACCGTGGAAGAACATTTGAAAGGAAGTTCACGCCTCTTTCCTTACCGATGTTATAAAACTTGCCAACGTTGACCCATGGATCTCTAGCTTCTGAGGCAAGCTCGCTAACCACTGCGCTACGGCTGATCGATTTTGATGTTAAATATATATATATATATATATATATATATATATATATATATATATATATATATATATATATATATATATATATATATATATATATATATATATATATATATATATATATATATATATACACTATTATTAAATAGCAAAGAATTTTGCATATAATTCGAAGTTCAAAATCTAATTTCAAACTTTAAAGGTAGTGCCCAAATGTTAATTTCAATAGGTTTAAAGTTCAAATTAGAATGTTCAATATATAAAAAAAAGTAAAATAGCTGCTGAGTCAAAGTGTAGACTTTACTTTATACCTTGTATTTTTTACCCAATAAGTAATGAGTTACTAATTAGTAATTAATTTAAGTACTAAATTAGTTACTAGAAACTTCTAGCTACACATTATTTTATAATTATCATGAACAATAGTTCACTGATAACTTATTAAAATAAATGTAATTGTAGTGTTACAATATATACTATATATTTATTTAGTCGGCATTTAGTTTAAAAAAACGTCTTTTAAACTTTCAAAAGGCGCTCAGAACGCCTAATGGATGTGTTTTTTGAACCAATTGCGGGCTGGGTAGGAATATTATTAGGTAAAAATTAGAAATATAGTTAGATAAGTTCGAGATAACAAACTTTTAACTGTGTAAGTATAAAAAGCTTTGGCTTCGGCAACCGTGTCTTCGGCAGAAGCTTCGGCTTCGGCAAATTCTTGGCTTTGGTACATCTCGAATTAAAATACTCAAATATAAAATGACACCAAATTCTTACTTATCTTAATTATCTGTTTTAACTCCTCCAAAATAGTTGTCTCTTCGTTTTCGTGTATTTTTTCCAATCGCGAATTATAAATTTATCATAAGAGCTCTATGCAAATTTATCAGATTGCCGGGCTACTTTTATTTTTTCTTTTAAACTTTTTTTTATTTTACTTGTTCCAGCACAAAAGTCCTCATTAGTTTAACCTATGAACATATTAGATTTTTTAAGGATTTTAGTTTTATTTTAATATAATCAAAAATTCTGAACAAAAAACCGAGTAGTCTTTTGTCCAAGAAATTTGAAAAAGCCTATGAAACTCTTTGAAAAGAATGTTTACAACAAGAGGCTTATTAATTAAAAAAAAGACCAATCAGCACACTCCTGACAACAAGAAGAGTTTTTTGGGGTTGGTTCTTTATGTGGCCGACTGTAACTCATCTGAGACTTTCTTTTTGCCATTACATAATGTTTTAATAATATTTCTATACTTAATTTGTAAAAAATTTTATATACTGAAATTATTCTAATTTTAAACATGAGTGAAACATATAAAAATAAAATATTTTGTACTTTAAAAATGTTTTGCCCTTTCTACCGCAAAAATGAAGAGATAAAAACTGAAAAACTAAACGAATTAAACAATAGAGTTTTTATAAAGTTTGAATAATAATATAAATAAGCTAAATAAATTTTAAATATTAAATTAAATAAGCTTCAAGCTCACCAACATTAAAGTGAACTCTGTTGATGAATAAAAGAAACTTAAAGCTGCTAACTGATGAAGAAAAAAAACAGACCGACAAAGAAATCGAGAAAAAGAAAAAATTGTCCAAGTAGATATAAAAAAGCTCAAAGAAGACAAGATTTTTACAACAGCAGCACAGATCAATTCCAAAGAAGTTCATAGTGGAAAAAATATCTAATGAGCTTAACGATTTGTTTATGAAAAGCTCTGACTCTTAAGAGATTTAACAGTTCGGGTATAAAAGAATTAACAGTCCGGGTATAAAAGAATTAACAGTCCGGGTATAAGAGAATTAACAGTCCGGGTATAAGTGGTAATGTAATCAAATTTGATCAATTGTAACATTAAAATTAATAAAGTGTGATTTTTTTGTCAATTATATTTTTAAATTAAGTTATTGTTAATTTAGAAATAATAAAGTACAATTAAAAATAGTATATTTTACATAGATATAGTTTACAAATACTTTTCTAAAAAGTAAAAGTTTATTTATATAAAGAAGGTTTTACGACAAAAGACAAAAATTTCATGAAATTTATTGACTTGTTGTAAATACTTCTTGAATTAAACCAAAGAGGTCCAGAAGTTTTTGTAAATGTCGGAATAAAATATATTTTTGAAAATTGGAATAAAAAATATTTGTCAGTCATTCCACACAATTTTTTTCGTTATTAAGCGCCGATCTTTAATGTTAATGAATTTAGTAATTAAAATATTAAAATAATGCTTAAATTATTTTAAAATCTAAATTAATTGCTACGTTGATGAAACAAATTCATTTTATTCCCATAGTGATATAAAAAAGTTTTTTAAAACGGTCAAAATTGAGTTTTTAAAACAAACTGAATGGTAAAATGCAAATAAACTGTCAATTAGTTTAACTAAAACTAAGAATACTTTATTAAATTGTCTTCATGAAGGAGATAAAATCCTTCTAAAGCACTTTTAAAACTTAATATCAGTGATGGGGCTTTATTTCAAATAAAGAATTTTGAAGAAATTGACTGAAAAAAAGACTAAAAAAAGAAGGTCCTTAAAACTACACTCTAAGAAAAAATCCGTTATATACAACGAATTGTATCTGTCGCTATTGCTAACGGGAAATCCGTTAAGTTAACGAATTAAAATTTTAACGAATTGAAGTCCGTTAGGAAGTTTTAAATATTAAATTAAATAAGTCCGTTGAATTTACGGATTTATAATAGATGTTTAAAATAAACCAATGCCAAAATAGTTTTTTTTTTTTACACATATAATAGATGTTTAAAATAAACCAATGCCAAAATAGTTTTTGGTCGCTAGTTTTGGTTTGGTTGGTTTAAATAGGTTTTGGTTTTGAATACTGTTGTTACTCGTACACAGGTTCGCACTTTAAATCGAACACCATGCTGCCAACTCCTTTAAGATTAATATAAAATAAAATAAGATAAATATGGAAACTTAATAACATACCTAGTATAGAACCAAAATAAAATGTTACTGAAAGCACTATATAAAATGTTTTTGGTAATTCATTATATATAAATTTCTATTCTAAATTTTGTTATTTTAATTATCTCTGATATTGTTTTTTAAAGACAAAGTTAAATGGAACAAGTAAATTATATCTTTATTAAAATGTAAATTAATAAAAAAGTATAAGACTACCTTGACATTATCTGATAACTAAAAGACTATACATAACTATAACGATACATTTCACATACATCAATACCTATCAGGAGCAAAAAATAAAGTATCTAACCTTTTAAAAACTATGATAAATCAAAACAAGGTTAAATATGCAGACCAAAAAAAACGCAAGTAACTATATAAAAAAATTAATTTTACAACATATTTAAACTTACAGTGTCATACCACTTGTCACAGTGTCATACCACTTGTCACATGTTTAAAATAGCTAATTCTAAAATAATAGTGAATATAGAATATAGTAGAATAATAGTTAAAAAAGTGTGATATAAACTTAGTCTTAACTAAACTAAAAAAATATGCACGCCAAAAGAAATGCAAGTTAAACTACAATTTTTTTAAATTTACTTATTCAAACTTACAGTGAGATACCACATGCCACGTGTCTAAAACAGTAAAATTTAAAATAATATAAACACGCAAGATATAAACTTATTATTATTGTTATTATTATTATTATTATTATTATTATTATTATTATTATTATTATTATTATTATTAATAGTTGAAACTCAACTAAATAAATATGCACGCCAATAGAAATGCAAGCTACAATATAAATTTTACAACCAATTTAAACTTACAGTATGACAGCTTATACCAAGTGTCTAATAGCAAATTCTGAAATAATATAAACAAGTCATACACAAACTTTGTTGTAATCTAATTTAATAAACATGAACGTCAAAAGAAATGCAAGTTAAAATATAATTTTTTTTAAATATACTAATTCAAACTTACAGTGAGATACCACATGCCACGTGTCTAAAACAGTAAATTCTAAAATAATACAAACACATCAGATATAAACTTAGATTAAACTCAACTAAATAAATATGCAAGTTACAATATAAATTCTACAACCAATTTAAACCTACAATATGACACTAAATGCAGTGCCTTTAAAGCAGCAAATTCTAAGATAGTATAAATAAATAAACATGAATGTTAAAAGAAAAAGAAGTTCCAATATAAATTTTTTAATTTTACAACTAGTTTTAACATACAGTGGGATAACAAATGCCATGTGTCTAAAACAAAAAATTCTAAAATAACATAAACACACCAGTATAATCTTAGTTTATGATATTGGATGCCACATGTTTAATTTGGAAATTAATAAAAATTGCAATTTATAAAAGCATAATAACTAGCCATGTAAACTTAGCTGTAACTAACATAAATAAATATACCTATCAAAGATGTTAACATTTTTAATTTTACAACTGATTTAAACTAATATGTCATATGTCTAAAATATAAAGTTAAACAAGACTATAAATAATCCATTTAGTCTGTATTATAGAAATAATTGTTCAACTAACCCTTTACTACTAGTAAAGGATTAGTTGAGCTTTTATTTCTATAATATAGACTATATGGATTGCATATATTCTTGCATAATTTTCAAGATTTATACATGTAGTAACTTACCATATATTATATGTATTAACTTACCATATATATTATTATATATTATTTAGTAATACTAATGTCTTTTAATTTAAAATAAAAAAAAACCTTATTGTTAAATTTTCTGTATAAAGCTTTATATAGAAAATTTAAAATAAGTTAAATAATCTTCGAAATAACATAGCGTAATTTAAATTATATTTATTCATTTGCTTTGTCTACTAAATTTAAAGCTTTTTAAAAAATGGCATATTACACTTACTGCAACCAACTTTTATCTACGATGTAAATGTAAATGTGAGAAAAACGCATTCAAAACTATATCATTTTCAAAATAAAAAGATATATACTGAATACTTTGAATTCAAAACTTTATCATTTTCAAAATAAAAAGATATATACTGAATATTTTGAAAAAGATATATACTGAATATTTTGAATATACTGAAAATTTTTTTTTGACCGATTAGAATATTTAATCCGTTGAATTACCGAAATTTCAAAGAATCCGTAAATAGTTAATTTTACTCCGTTAATTTTCTGGTTTTTGGTAACGAATTAATCCGTTAATTTGACAAAAAAGCGCAATCCGTTACTTTTGTTAACTGACTGTTTTTAGAGTGTATTTCTGGGTAGTGCTGCGCCCCCAATATAATTTTTGTTTCTACGGTCCTGACTGATCACATAAGCATAATTAAAACTATAATTTTTAAAAACATTGGTTTACGTTTATTAAAACTTTTCTTGAAACAATCGTGTTTAAAATACTTATAATTCTCATTTATACATTCTATCCTAATCATCCCAACATTTTTTGGTGCAGCACCTATATAAAAACAAAGACAAAAAAACTATTCAACAAACGAAAACATGCTATTAGATTTTTATCAAACGCACACCGTTGCTCACATTGAAACCGACTGTCAAGTAACAACTATGTTCAACTAAAATCTATATATGATTTAACAAAATTCTTAACTATTTAGATGACCCATTGTACGGAATAAGATAATCAGTAAAGTATGGAATAAATTGATTAGTAAAGTATGGAATAAATTTGTTAGTAAATTATGGAATGAGTTGGTCAATAAAGTATGGATTAAGTTGATCAGTAAAGTTGATCAGTAAAGTATGGAATAAGTTGGTGAGTAAATTATGGAATGAGTCGGTCAGTAAAGTATGGAATAAGTTGGTTAGTAAATTATGGAATGAGTCGGTCAGTAAAGTATGGATTAAGTTGATCAGTAAAGTTGATTAGTAATGATATTAAAACAATTACAACTCTTGATAAGTTTAAACAAAAACTAAAACTATTACTTTTATATTATGAAAAAATTGAAAACTATTTCTAAATTATTTATTAAGTAATCATTCCTAAAAAAATATGGTAAGTATTTTATTTTACATGGAATGAATTTAAGTCAACAATTTGTTACTTTATATATTATTAATAACTATTTTATAATAAAGTAAACTAGTAAGAGTAATAATAACTAAACTTAAAATTATATTTATTATTTCTTTTATTCATTATTTATAAAAATATATAATCATTTATTTTAACTGTTATTAGGTCAGGTGTATGGTCATTATGATCATCTTGCTACTGGTAACATGTAACCCAGTGAAACCTGCTCCATGTTTTACTGCCATGTGGGATTCGTTTATATGGGAAAGGCTAGAAAAAGTGTACTTCCTTTGATCAATACTATTTGTCATGCCTATAGTAATATATATAATTTTTTTTGTCTCTTATATAGTTGGAGGTATCTTAGTTGTATGTTTGTGTTCTAAACTTAGGGTGTTCACCCGTATTGTTCCCCCGTAAGTTACTTTAAGTATGTTAAGTTACTTTAAGTACTTTAAGTATGTAGTTCTGTTCTGTCTAAACCTCTGGAACGGTGTTGGTTCATTTATATGTTACTATATGAATGTTTGCATTTTGTCTAAACCTCTGGGGTGGTGTTCACTCATGAGTAAGTTACTTTATGTATGGTTGTGTTCTGTTTAAATCTCTGATGCAGTGTGAGCTCAGTGATGCAGTGTGAGCTCAACTAATTAGTGACTCAAACGGAAAAACTTACGCTCACCTTAATTTCTAGTAACTTTTCAGTTTTAACGTTTTCCATATGCGTTTTTAAAATATTGCTATCAATGTTTTAAATTACTGCTTACGGGAAGTAACTTCATTTATCTACTCCAGGTCAGGCAAAGTTTAGGATCATCACGATCACCCTGCCTACAGATGATTTATCGATAAAAACACTCATCTTGGGCAGATGTTGACTGCATCCAGCAACTGTTTTTTTTTTTGAGCCTCTTCTTTATCTATTAAGTATGTAAATCTATGTTTTATTGTTTCTCGCCTAGGATGATGGATGCTGGATCTTCATGACTTCTCACAGATTTTTGCTTGTGAGTTATGTTTAATGATGTCATTTAACAAAATCCAGTGCGTTTTAGCACGCCAGCTCTAGAATTCAATTAAATGGTTCTGAAGCCAACTGATAGTAAGGTTTACCGAACTCTATGGTGGCTCTCTAACAAGCTAATTCTATCAACAGCTGTAAAATATCAAAGTACTTTACTAATAAATGATAAATGCGCCTCCTGCGTATACTTCTGGATTTAGGCAAAAATGGAACCTTTTATTTCTTTTTGTTGGTTCCAAGTCAAACTTCATTCTACTCCATGGTTTTTATATTCTTGTGCAGCTGCTTTATCTAATCATAATTATTTTTTTCATCTTTTTTAAAAGAATAATTCTCTTGAGAACTACCGCCTATTATTGCAAGAAATTAATGTAAAAAAGATACTGTTCGATGCAGAGCTCGATTATTTCCAATTCACACATTGCTTAAGTCATATCTCAATTAAACTCTTCTCAGCTTGTAGTCCAGAAACATTTCTGTCATAATCTTACAAAAGTGTTTCCCAAATCTTTTAATTCTTTCAAAACTAAAAAAAAAATTTTTTTTTGCTTGAATGAACCTTGTTTTTCTGTCTACTGGAAAATGGCACCTGTGGTTCCAATTTTCAAAAACTCTGGAGAACAATCTGACCCCTCCAACTATCGTCGAATTTGCCTCTTATCTGTTATTAGCAAGTTCTTTCCTTCTTTGATTAACAAATATCTGACACCCCATTTTTAGTTAAGTCAGACTATAAGTATGGTTTTTGTCCTCCCGCTTTACGGCTGACTTGGCAACTGCTGTGGCTGAAAGATTTTATTGTCCATTAGATTGAGTTGGTAAAACTAGGGCTAATGCTCTTGAAATATCTAGAACTTTTTGAAAATGTTTGGCATGCTGGTCTTCTCCATCAGCTTGTTTCTTATGGTCTGGAAAAGTTTCTGAGATTATATGACATTAAAAGTCATTTCTTTCCAACCGTTTTATTAAAGTCATCCTCAAATTCCAACATTCCTTTTCCAGTAACTTCTGGGGTACCTCAAGGTTTTATCAATGGTCCTGTTATTTTTCATATCTACGTTAATGATTTTCTTAACAATTTTACATCTAAAGTAAGTAGCTTTATTAGCTGATGATTGAACTATCAGTTGAGTCGTTAGCAAGTCCTGACAACTCTCTTGACAAAAGTTCGTACTTCTGTCTTGACAAAAAGTTTTCTTTTTTCAATTGTTAAGAATAGACAACTGATCTTGAGTATGATCTCACTTCTGTATTAGATTGGAGCTTGCATTGGCTTGTAAATTTCGACTTCAAAAAACTCAGTTATTTACTACAATCAATTATTGCACTGCTGGCAACGTTCGTATATTGATGAATGGTAACCCTCTTACTGAGTCCTCTTCTTTAAGTCCTCTTGGATTATTACAGAATTTCTTACTCCTAATTTCATTCTTTATTTTTATTTCATTCCTCTACAAATCTTTTATTTGCCCCTATATGTAATACTGTTATATTTGGGCTGGTTCTTTAATAATGTTTTTTCTCCTCTAGACGAGATCTAAAAACGCATTGTAAACGTAGTTAGGCCTGCTTTATCTGCAAAGCATGACTCTCCCATCGTAATAAGTTTGCGTCTCTTTTTCTTTTCTACAAATACTACCCTAGTCGTTACAAAAGAGCTATCACCTTTAGTTCCATCAACCAAAAATTATTCTCGCTTGACTTGTCATTTAGCGAAGTCTCATTCTTTTACTATATCTGTCTCTGCATGCTCTTATAAGTTTTTTTTATTTTATTTTAATAAAACTACAATTTATGAATACATTTTACACTGGTATCTATTTTCTCTACATAATAATGTTTTCAAAAAGAATTTGTCCTGCTTTGATGTTCTGTGGCCTATATCTACACCAAACAGATTGTGTTTAGATTTTGACACCAACATATTGTTAAAGTCTAACGTATTATCTGCCAGAAAATCTAAACCCGATCAGGTTGGTTTCAGGTTGGTCATTTTCAAAATATTAGTAAAAGTAAAATATTAGTAAAATATATATAAGATATACATATATATTTTTTTTTGTATATAAGATATACTTGTATATTTATATAAAATGTATATAAAATATATATACTTATATATTTTTTTACGTTAGTTTATTGAAATATATTGATCGTATTTTTTTGATTGATTCTATATTGAGCGTACTTCCTTCAATAGATTGATCGCAATAATCATTATCATTGATGTCATTAACATTATTGTACTTTTCAGAATCATTATTAGTACCCCTACAATGAAAATTATCATAATTTGATAATTATGATAATTTTTAATTAAGAACGATATTAGGGTTTGATTTACCATTAGAATTATTTTCAATTAGAATTATTGTTTAAAATAAAATAGTTTCCACGATTTGTATCAACCAAATGAAAGACTTTATTCAAAGTTTTTAAATGCTTGTAACAAAATATCTGATCCTCTATAATATTTAATTGAGCGAGTTTGAGATGATTAACAGCGAGTTTAAAATGATTAACGGCGAGTTTAAAATGATTAACAGCGAGTTTGAAATGATTAACAGTGAGTTTAAAATGATCAACTTGTTTAAATGATCAAC